CTGATTTCCAGCCGCGGCTCTGATACCACTTGTTATAAACGCGCTGCTACGGATCAGGAAATTGCTGGAATCGACAAAGCAAGAATACGAAAGCGAGAATCGAAAACACGACACACGATTTATGTGGTTCACTAACACGATGTGTGTTAGCTAGTCCACGGGCGAGAGAGAGCCAGTTTCACTATATGGAGGAGATTACAGATTATAGAGAAGATGAGAAGTATTTATACTTCTCCATGTGGGTCTAAACCTTATCCAATTTGGAAAAGGAAATGGTTACAGACCACGCCCAGAACCCGAACCCAAATAACATTGAGCCCATACTCCGAGGCCCCCCGACTAATCCAGTCATAGCGGCTGGTAGTTCGATTCAAGTCAAATCAAGAGTTTCTAGTTTCCTTTGCCAAATTTTATTTTACTAGTGGGCATTGGTTAATAATCGATCTGTAAGCGGTGGCAAAGTTTATGGGAAAAGTGAGGGGAGAAATAGTAGCTTCGACCATGACTGGATCGTCATGGCCGGTGGAGCCACCAAAGTTCACGAGATCGTCTCTTTCTTCTTGACGGATCCCGACAAAGCTCTGCTAATGCCCACCCTATACTATCCTTCCACTCACCACTCTACCCAGTGGCGGAGCCACTCAAGGCCAAGATGGGTCATTTGCACCACCTTGGCCCAAAAGATATAGTGTAAATTTTTTTTATGTGATTGTAGATTGAATACAAAATCTTCATATTATTATAGATAATTTTACGAAAAAGTAATGTTTTGTGATCTATATATAACTTTTAATTTTTTTCCGATGATTTATAACTTTTAATTCATATGTACTGTAAGTGAGTTTAATATCAACAAAAAATCGAAATTTAGGGGTGATTTTTACTATAATCTTGCAATGCAAGTGTTGAAAAAGAACTTACTATAATGAACCAAGTGAAGAAACACTTCAGAATAAGATGAGTTGTGAAATGATGAACGTTTTTCGTTGTGATATCATAACATTCCTCATAATTTGCATGATTAATGCATTTTAAAAATAATTAGAACAAAAACACATCATCAAACTTGGGTTATATTATTTTTCTACGTTTGACCTATCTTAGATAAATTCCTGGCTACGCCGTTGACTCTACCTCCTGGGAATTTTTGGTCGGAAGGGCAATCGGACTTGCCGTTAGTGGCGATGGCATGCCGCAAGCATCGAGTATCTCCACCAGTTGTGAGTAATTTGTGAGAGAGAGTAGGTAAATGTTTAGTAAAGTGTTCTAATCATCTATTACCGATAATAAATTGCGATCCAACTTACGGTTGTGGTCTAAACCGCACAAAATCGCTAAATTATGCGGTTTGGTTTGACCGCACCGATTACATTGCGGTCCAACATATGGTGCGCTTTATATCAAAATGGTGCGGTGCAGTTCCAACCACACCGATGCTCACCTCTACTACTTAAGCGATTATGATTTGAGACTTTTAGGTTTAAGGATATTTGTATTACCACTAAACCAAGTCATTGTTCATCACTAACTTGTGGTCATTGAACCATGCATAATTATTCCTCTATTAAAGAGTAACGTATAATATCCTTTTCATTTTAACTCGGATTTAAATTAAAAAAAAAAGACTAACATGTTCTACAAAATTACATCCAGTTAGATATATTTGGCTAGAAAAAAATAAAATGTTGACCAATAGATTTTTAATCACAATATCGCATGATGGTAGAAATGTTTACTCCTCAATATTGTCAACAATTAAAGCAACGACCTCATTTGTCATCCCCTTCCATTTGATTTGCAACTTGATTTCAACTTTTTGAACAGTGGTGTCACTCAATCTATCCTTTCCATATTGAAATGTCTTTACAAAGATACAACTTGAATCTAACATCTCCTTCAATTTTTGAATAGTTGAATTGTGCAAAGAAATTGAAGCTGGATCTCTCGAGTAAATATCTAACATATTTTGGAGTTCATTGCTAGTGTCATAGATGTAAAGTTGAGCAAATTTGGTCTATTTCTTTCAATATGTATTAGCCTACCGATTCAATGATGTACATGACTCCAATATAATAAATATATACTTCACATACATCATTTATAGATCGGTCAAATTTACCTCCATTAGAAGTTAAGGCAAACACATTATAGCCTGGAATAACTTCCAACAAGTGATGTCTTGTTGAAGTAAAGGTCTATCATTACTTTGCTCTAAACTACTATGTACTCAAATATAAAGGTTAGTTTAGGAACTAACTAATCTAACTAAAAAACAACTAAGTAGTTGGGAAGTTGCTAGATATGAGATGTTGCTTAGGATTGAATCCTTCTAGTAGTAGGATGAGTATATCTGTATATGATTGATGCAAGACTTAGCCAGACTTACCTAACTTGCAAGTTACGAGAAATAATCTAGTCTAGTGGTTGATGCAATGGTCGTAACTCACAATTACCCTTCTAGGCCCTTAAATAGATCAATGGTCATGTAATTAGATAGGTACCTAGAGCATTAGGTTTCGACTCTCAATTAGGTTAATCCCTATGAAAATTAGACTTCGACTCGATGGTCATACAATCCAAATTCCATAATGCTGGATGTGTGTCTAATCCTAACCTGGGGAAGTGGTCATTACAGCGTAGGTCAAGAAACATGAACTAGTTACCTCTACAGAAGCAAGTTCAAAGCAAGATTAAAACATCAAACAAGCATATATAGATAGGAATAAAGGCTAGGCTCCTATTTAAAAAAGACCTAATTACATAATAAAATTCACATCCCTTATACAATGTAGGCGTTCAAGTCATAGAGACAGAAAGGAAATACAAACTAGTAAGAAGAAACAAGTTTAAAACCATCTTCTTCTCCTTGGATTACTCCCTTCTCCACTGCTTTTGGATGGATTCTTCCTTCCTTAGCTCCTCCAATGAATTTTCTCTAACTAAAGACAGCCAAAAAGAAAAAATCATAATTTCTCACTCTAGGGTGGCTCCCATTCGTCAAGGCTACAAAGGGGGGATTAATGACACAAATATTTTTTTTTAATTTACCACTAATATTACAAATTAAAAACTATTGACACAAATATTGTGTTTTTTAGTAAGGATTGGGGCGGGACCACCCGAGACTCAGGCGGGACTGATTTTTTACCCAGTCCTGGGCGCTGGCGCCCCAGTCTCAAGCGGCCCCGCCTCAGTCAAATTTTTTTAATGAGTCTTAGGCGCTGGCGCCCGAGACTCAGGCGGGAGCGCCCCAGACTGTTTTTTTTTTAAATTTCGACGGGCCCCTCCCACCTTATCCCCCTCCCACACCACACATCCTCCTCCTCTCTTCTTCTTCCTCCCCCCAACCCCGAACCAGAGACACCCAGAGCCCCCCGCCGCAATCGCTACCGCCCCAGACTTAGGCGCCGCCGCCGCAGACTCGGGCGCCGCCTCCGCAGACTCGAGCGCTGCCGCTGCCGACTCGAGCGCCGCCGTCCCAGACTGAAGCGCCGCTGCCTTTGACAGAAGCGCCGCCGCCCTTGACTGAACCGCCGTCACCCGAGATGTCCTCCGACGAAGAACCAGTCGCCGGTAGAGGCAGAGGGAGAGGTCGGCGAGGTCGTGGTGGAGTCGGCGGCCGTTTGCGCGGTGAGACAATCGTCGGCAGCTTGATTTTTTTTTTAATGTTTTGTGTTTTTTTTAATGTTTTGTTGCTTTGTTTTTGTAGTTCCTAGGCTTATGGATCCTTATTCGATGAGATTACCGGCGGCGACAATTGATCCAAGTCCGGTCGATCCGACACTTCTTTGGGGACATGGCCAACATCGTATGGACTCTGTTTGGACAAACGAGGTAAGTATTTGATAATTATTCATGTAAAGTTAATTAGCTAATTAGATTATTTTAGGTTGTGAACTGAACTGTTAGGTGAAATTAGTATAATTTTATGTTAGATAAGACAGATTAGAATTTATTAGGTGAAATTAGAATTATTACGAATGAAAATGAATTAATATAAGTTTTGTGCACTATAGGCTGGTGATCGATCGTACCATGTTCGAGGTACGACCATTTTAGTACCTTACCATGAGCTTTATTGGCCATATCTCGAAGCGGCAGGCTTGTTAAGTGTCGTGCCCCTAGTCCCTATGAACCCCGATGCGAGTTTGATTACTGCGCTCGTAGAGCGGTGGCGCCCCGAGAGGTCGACCTTCCATCTACCGTGTGGTGAGATCACGATCACGTTAGAGGACGTTGTTACACTGTCCGGTCTGGCGATCGACGGTGATGCCGTCGTAGTTGATATACCGGATGAGGAGTGGTCGGCGATCTGTTTGAGACTGTTAGGACAAGTTCCGGCCGATCTTGTAGGCAGTGTTGCTGTTGTTAGGATTGTTTGGCTGAGGGTTGAATTCAGTCATCTGCCGGAGAATGCATCACAGGAGGTTATAGAGTAGTTTGCACGAGCTTATGCTCTATCTCTGCTTGGAGGTGTACTTTTCTCGAAATAGTTGATTATACATAATTTTGCTTTTAGTCTTCCTTTGCAAATTGCTTGCATAGTGTCGCATGCACCACCTCCACTCCCAACCTCTTCCGATGTTATTCATGGCTTCATAGAGTCCTGCATGTCTATCTGAGATGATGCATACATCATTTCGATCAGTCAAACCCTGAACCTTCCTCATGAACCATGGCCAACTCTCAGTATTCTCGCTCTCCACTATGGCAAATGCAATTGGAAAAATCTTCCTCCGGCCATCAAATGAGCTCGCCATGAGTAGCACTCCTTTATACTTCCCAGTAAGAAATGTTCCATCCACAACCATGACGCCTGGACAATTCTTGAATCCATCTATACAAGGTCCATAAGCCCAGAATACTCGCTGAAATATTGAATGACCTGGTTGAGCCGAAGGAACTCTTACCCAATCAATCACTGATGTTGGCATTTTTCTCTTGACCACCCGCAAGAATGTTTGCAAAAAATCGTAGGATTCTTCCCAATTTCCATGCAACTTCTCCAATGCTCTTTGTTTCCCATACCAAGCCTTCTTGTAAGTAACTTGCATATTAAACTTATCTTTCAACTCGGCTTGAACAGTTAGAACACTCAGATTTGGTTGGGCACGTACCAAATGTTTGACGGCCTCAGATATCATGTCGACATCAAGATGGCGATGATCCGTCGGTTGAGTCGTACTGCTACAAGAATGCACCAACTCAGCTTTTCTCACAGTCCATTCGCCCCCAACATCTCGACATCCAAACCGCACCATCCAAGGACAATTGTCATCCTTGTGCCTCAAGCATCTGACCTTTCATATTGAAGGTGACGACTCCACCACGCCATATTGAAAGTTGCGTTGTAGTGCGTGGTGTTTAATCACCATCTGTGCAGCTTGTTTCGAGTGAAATATCTGCCCCTTGTAGAATTCTCCTTCAAAACTATCAAAATAGGCATTGGAATTACGCCATATGAATCAGCAAGTGCAAATTCTTCGTCCTCTTCATTACCCTGCAAGTAAAAATATGGAGGATAATTAAGCTGCTCTCCTTCCTCCTCCTCCTCATCTTCCTCCTCTCCGTCATCACCGTGATCATAGTCATGATCGGATGGCACGCTCCATGTATCATCTTCTTCCTCTCCACCCTGATCCTCACTGAGCTCAACATGTATCTCAGCACCCAAACAATAAGGATTTTGTGCCATAAAATTCCAAAGCACATCCAAGCTATCATCATCCACAATAGGTAACGCATAATGAAATAAAACATCATTCTGCCATTCTGGAAGACGGTAAGTGAAACCTGTGAGTCTCGGGCGCCACCGCCTGAGTCTTGAGCGCCGCCGCTGCCAACTAAATAAAACGGTCCAAAAACCAAGCTAAAGCGGCAGCGCCTGAGTCTCAGGTGTCCCCGCCGATTCTTATCTCTAAAACACAATATCTTTGTCAATAGTTTTTAACTGGCCATATTCGTGGTAAATTAAAAAAAACAATATTTCTGTCATTAACCCACAAAGGGGATATTACAGTTAAATATGGGGCAGGTCACGACCAAAAAGGGGTGACTCGATTGTCATGTTTAAAACCAGCGAAACGACAAAAAATCATCCTTTTCCTCTGCGTCTTGACTCCATTTGAAGTGTTGAGATCTTGCTCTCGATATCTGATTAATGATCATAATCTTTCTCTTAGATGGAATCATTTCGGATGCTGGTTGGGCCGTTAAACTTTCTGCTCGATTTTACGTTAGAGGGTTCGCCAGGCCCAAGGGTCACGGTCCTGACCTGTGGTTGTTACTTGTGTAAAGTCCTCTTTTCTTTATCCTGTGCAATTAAAGTGTGCATGAACGAGCCCCAAATCAATATCTAATCAACTGTGGACGAGTAGAGGACTTGGAACATCATAAAAAAACCAAGCAAGCATAAAACATTACAAAATGAGATCGTTTCCCTATTTATGAACCTTCATCGCAACCTAACTCATGCTAAAAACTAATAGTGTGTGTATATGAGCGCATATTAACATAAAATAGCTTACAACGTGGCCTAGACATGGTGATTTAGCACACAAACGCCTAAATAATGGAAGTTAAATAGCATTGATTTAGGTGTTATCAATTGCCAATACGAATGTTGACAAATTTTCACATATAGTGTTGTGCTTTATATAAAGAGCATGTTTTCTTTTTGGTAATTTTTCAAGGTTGAATAATTCTCTTAAGTCCCCGTCTTCTGAGACTTTGTGTCTTGTTAAAGAGAAAGAAACTGAATTACATATTTTGAAAGAGGTTGAGGAATCTTTTTTTAGACAAAAGTCGAGGGAGATTTTTATGAAGGAAGGTGAGGTGACTCTAACCGTCTTAATTTCACAGATTAGTCAAGATAAGTGATAACTCGGTATTTGCACATGTTGTTGCCACCATTCTTACACATTTTGAAGTTTGATTCTCGTGTTTTAAGCCGATTTCACACTAGCTTGTTCTTTTATGTCATATTTAAGGACTTTGAGCGGAAAGGGAACCTTGGAAGCGAGTTTCGGGTTAAAAGCACTAAGGAGATGGAAGGAGGAGTGGAAGGACCAGAATCCCCGGTCAGCCATTAAAAATCTAACTAGGGAAACGCCATCAGAGGCCGCGGAAGTCGTCCAGGGATTTTTCCCAGTCTGGACCCCCAATTCCCCGACGGGGGAATTAGACTTGAGGCTAGCGATTTCTGCCACGACAAACTTATCGATGCCCGCGGTTTTGAGAATACCCGTCCTGTCATCAAATTACTTGACCAAGTAATCAGGCCGGGGGTTGTTTATACTCGGGCTGTTTAGTGCCAAACAAGGGTTTTGACAGGGCATTCGAACTTTGGAGCTAAAAATAGAGGTTTAGAGAGAAAAAGTGACGAAGAGAGATCCTGGAGTGCCTTAGATCAAGTTCCACACCATTAGAGCTTGATTCAAGCCCCAAGGAGCGAAGATTGATGAACCGGTGCTGATTTTTGTCGTCTAGCCGATGATTTCCACATCCAGCATAGCTTTCCACTCTCTTTCTCTATGGAGTAATCCCCTCTATCACTTGGGTATATAAGAACCCTAGATTGAATGTTAGGATGAGTTGTATGAACCCTTTTTCATGAATGATTGACTGATTTATATCCAATTGAAGTACTTATTCAAAATTGTTTGAGTCTTGATCAAATTCTAGTGATTCCTGCGTTGACCTAGACAGATAATCTCTGCATACGTCAATAGAGCATATTGAATTGGAGGAAGTGAGTCGGCGAATATAGTATAGAATTCGAGTCACTTATTTTTACTTGTTTAGAATCTAGTAGATGAAGTTTGAATCTTATAGCCTCGGTTAGCTTATGTCGGTGGAGGTTAGTCGCGCGCCTGGTATTCAAATTGAGAGGGTATGGAGCACTTTAGTCGAGACTCTAGACTGTTTGAGAACTTTCTGCGGTTTAAGCATCAATCGACTTGGTTTTGGTAAATTACAACTTGGTTTTGGTGACTCATACTTGAGTGAGCCTTCTTAACTTGAATCCCAACCTTACTGCTTTGTGTTCGCTTAGATTAGTTACATCTTCACTACATTCAAAATTCTAGATAACGAGAACTTCAGGGAGTAGTCATCACATCTAGGACCCGGGTTGACAAGCATAGCTAAACCCGCTATACCACGCATTAGCTTGTGGTTACACTTGGCCACTGACTCGTCCCGAATATAACAAAAAATTGCCACCTAAGGCCCAAGTATAAACCTTAGATGGGTGCAATATAGGGAAAGAATGTATAAATATCAACTCGGACATGCCCATGTACCCCTACTTCCATTGTTTGAAATATTATCTAGCGAATTGGTTTTTGGTTGAAAACTATGAGATTTAAATCAAAACAAAGCAAAAGTAAATGGTTTGAAAGGTCTAGATGAGAAGGATCACTCGGGTGTCAGTTCCCCCTAACTACTACCATGGCACGTGGACTCGAATGGGACGTTATGGCAAGGCAATCATGAACCGCTAGGAGGTGCATCTATGGTCGAAGACCACACTCTCAATTGCCAAACCAAGGGATACATTATAGGCTACAAGAGTAGCCCTCTTGGTTTATGGCAATTAAGGGTTGACTTACCTTCTCCCTCAAATCGATGGTTGGACGGTTTAATCATGATTAACCTAGTTGATCAATTCAAGATAGAGGTTTTCCCTACATTAACCTAGGCAGGTGGCTTGTAAAGCCCAATGAATCCCATCTCAATTGAGCCTCTTTTGGAAATGGGGGTTTCCCCTGTAACCTAGATTAGAATGGCCAATTAGATTGCTAAGCACACACATGCACAATCATCATGAAAAATACCTCAATCATTAAATTAAAAAACACCCATAAACAATCATTCAAGTCACACTACAACTACATGGCAAATAGTTAGGGTTTCACAACACCCAAGTGAAAAAGAGTACTACTTGACACGCTAAAACACAACACCTAACAATGGCCAAGTGTAACCAATGAAAGGGACTGCAGTATAGTGGCACAAGTAATAAATATCGAATCCACGGGTCTCTAGAGTTACTATTACTCAGCTTCAGTTCATTATCTAGCAAACTAGATTAAGGATTGATTTATAAACTACTCTACTGACTACTCTACTAATTACAAGTTGTGAACTCACTTAGGTATGATTCCCCCTAGCTCCTCAATTAGGTCGAAGTTGCAATTACCTTTGGTTGATCTACTGTTGATTAAACTGCGGAAGATCCGATAGTAGCTTGGAATCTCTGAAGCTGACCAAGCCCTCTCAGTCCAACTACCCGGCAGGCGACTAACCTTCACCGAGATAGAAAGCTGAGGCTATGAACACAGAACTCCACCACCGGAATTGGATTCCAGTACAAAGAAGTAGATTGACTAACTCTCGTATAACCAATTCACCACCATCAATCAAGGAAGCTCTCTTAACCTAATAAGATTCTATCTATCATAGGTTAAAGCAGAAATCAAGAGAATTTGATCAAGATTCAATTGACTCAATAAATCATGCCTCAATCGATTATAATCAAACAATATAGCATCCAAAACTTCATACAAGAAATATTCTAACACATGGAACTAGGGTTCCTCAAAACCTAAGTGAAGGGAAGTTACTCCATAGAGAAGAGAGAGACTGCAGAAATCTGATCTAGATCTTCAATCTCCATCTCCAAGCTTGATTCCTGAGCTCCAATGGCAAAGAAATCCTCCAAAATAGCTCCAAGAATGTTCCCAAGTCGCTCTCTCTCTCTAGGGTTTGTCCCTTGGGTGTTTGGGAACCAAAAACCCAGCTCTCCCCTTTCCTTTGGCTGAAAATCGAGTTTTAAACAGAAATTCCCAATCACGCGGCCAGGCCACACGGCCGTGTGGCTTTCCCAGCTGCCCGTGTGAAGGCTCGGTGATTTCCACACGACCATGACCCACACGGCCGTGTGAAGTTCCAGGATGCCCGTGTGGCTTGCTCAGCCTCTGTTTAATACTTCGTTTCTCCCTCGTCCGGACTCCGAATCAGTCCCCGTTTGATCCCAGACGCTCTTAGTCTCGTCCTCTTTCTTTTCATGACAATCTTGCTTGATTCTTTGTCCATAAAGTGAGGTAGAAATCCATTATTCTTTTCTCCCGAATCGTCAATTGATCTCTGATTGATTTGAAACTTGTGCCTATGCTTCACTTTATGTGATAGGACCTGAAATGTGACAAAGGAACACAAACTAGCGTAAAATAGTCCAAGAAAGCAGAAAATCAAGCCAAAATGATCAAGAAACGAGGGTGCAAACATGTGCAAATCCGATGTTATCAAACTCCCCCACACTTAACCGTTTGCTTGTCCCCAAGCAAACCAAGTCAGACACAAGGTAAGCTCACAATTTCAATCATACCAACATTGGGGACAAATCATATAGGCACAAAACATGGGAATCACACCGGCTTTCAAACATCAACACATGAACAACTTCAACCGCAACCTGGACAACCACCACAGAGGACATTCGAGTGCAGCAAAATCGAGTAAAGGAGGAGTCTCCCTTCTGTTCATCTATCAACATAGACTTGACTCAACCACTTACTCAAGACAGTCACCTCATGCACAAAACTCAAGATATCAGAATAGAGACCGAGCAATCTAGGTCCTCACCGGGGTACAAGAGTATAGAGAATATGAGAAAATGAATCGCTCACTCTCAACCAGTGGGGTCAGGACAATATGAGAAAATGCGCATGCTTATTCTCTCAATCCCTAACATCTGTTCACCATGACGGCAACCTCTAAATGCTAGAGTTCACATATGAGGAGTCACCACTAACTAATCCGGAGGTCTTAGACACAGGTTCAGATGACTGGCTAGGGTCTTGGACATGGGGAAAAGGCCTTTTAGGTGGCGGAAGTATTCGTAGCACAAGGTTCCACAATTCCAAACCCAACACAATCACAGTCAATCAAACCACTTACTTTCTTTCTGCCATTCTGCATTACTCAAATTCTTACGAGCACACGAGCGAAGGAGGTTATATAAATTTCAGTATTTCGAAGCAAGACTGCTAAGAAACACAACTTAATGGGCACTATTCAGATTTTTGGTAGTGGCTCTCTTTTGCTTTCATTTTTTTCTTTGTTTTTCTTTCATTTTTTTTTCATTTCTTAAGAGAACCACCACCTCTGCACATATTTCAAACATATGCCCAACTTTTAAGCACTACCTCCAACCCTCACATTACATTTAGCAGAAACAGCAGAGAACATGTAAAAATCACTCTGTGGAACCTTCTAAAAGATGCAAAAGGGTGACTTTTCATTGAAGACCGAAAGAAAGGATAACACAAGGCTCAAAGGGGCTGACTAGGGGGTATGACACACTAGGACAGTCAATTTGTTCGTGGGCTAATCCTATGCCTCCATCATTTTAGCTAATGACAACGTGAATGCTACACATCATGGACGAGGGAACTATCGCACAAGAAAGAAACGAGCAGGCTCAAATCTCACATGGCTACCAATATGCTCTATCTCTCATTCTGATTCCCCGAACTAGATGCATAAGAGACTGTCAAGAATAAGTAATCAATCCAAGTCACAGTTGGTAAGCAAACAGTTGAAAAACTGAACCCTACACAACTCCACTGCACGTCTCAGTCATCATTATAGGTTGTCCTAATCACCATCCAATTGTCATGCATTAATCCGAAAACCATTCAATTCACCAATCAAAACACAGTGCCAATATGATCAAACAGCCGTACTTGGAGCCCTCAAATCTCGCGATTTGGACAGTGGACTAGGCTCCAAGCACACGTATATACATTCCAATCGATACAAAGCACCCCCCCCCCCCACACACACACTTAAGCACGACATTGCCCTCAATGGAGCAGAGGGATAGAGAAGGGGAACGACGTTACCGGATTGAAATGCTGGGGTAAACTGGAAGTGGACCAGTCAACGGGGGACATATGGAACGAACGGACAGTTCTACACTAAGGGAACAACAAGAACACACTAGCACATGTTCGTTAGGGATCAGAGTTGGCCCAGATTGCCACAAAAAAAATAACAATCCACAAATGAAAAGAAACAAAACACACGACAAACTCAGTTCAAGCTCCTCAAACACATGGAGCAAACAGAAAAACTCTAAAACAAAAACACACACTGAGGGGCGACAAGTACAGCCTACTCGTCGCCAAGGTTGTCCAGATCGATGTCATTCATGAATGCATCATCGTCATCAGCTGGTGGAGGTGGAAGTAGAGAGTCCT